GTGGACCAGCATAGGTTGAAAACTTTTCAACATCTTTTGGATTTCTTGTAAAATGTTTATAAATTTGACGAATACGGTCGAGACATTCGATCGGTTTTCCATTATCAATAGATGATATAATGTGATCAACGGAAGTTGTTTTCAATATGTGTTGCAATGAAACATCGTACATTAACAGAACGGTATGACCTAATAGAAGGCCTTGCGAAATATCCTCCACTCCGAGTTCTCCTCCTCCTCCTATTGAAACAATGCTTGAACGACGATCGGTTACTAATTTTTGCGTTGGAGATGTTTTATTATCAACAAAATAATCTTCGATGAAACTTGGATTAAATTTGATATTAACATCCGCTTTTTTTGTCCAAATATTTGCTGCACTAAATAAATAAGTTGGCAATACTCGAGCTTGTATTGTATCAACAATATTTTGTGTTTCCACTAACACTGGCGAAACATTCTGATGCGGCAATTTCGTCGAATGAAGATTGGCTGACATCGGATTAAAAAATGGAGGAGGAGGAGGAGCTTTTGGAACGAAGCCAACTTCGCACAACGATGGTACGATTTGTGATGGACTGTCACAGTTTTCTGCGGCAATTTCTGAAAAGAAAAATATTTAATGGAAAATACAGTTATTCGCCTGATCGTTGAAGGCACCGCAACTTAATCAACCACAGTCCGATTTTACTTTCTGCAGTATTTGCGTCATATTTACCGTTATAAGAAAATGTTGTGGCCATTCTCGGCAACATATCAAAATCGTTATCGTTGTGAATCGTCATTGTTAACGTATCATAGCATAATTACACTAGAATGTCATGCATAACTCTGAAAAAGAGAAATTGGTAAATGTGGTAGGACACAGCACTCAAAAGTCTCTAACTTTTCTTTAGTTATGCGTGAATCGACAGTAACCAGGTCACGGAGAAATGTTGAATAGAATCGTGTTAAGCGTTTCACTTCTTAAAATATTTTTCAAGCTATATGAAGATATGCAATGAGCTAAAAAAGCGAATGAGCCAAATGTCAATGTTTTATTTCTGTATGTCTCATAAAACAATCCAAAAAAAGGTGAATAAAAAGAAAAGAAAGTGTTCTTTCCGTCATCAAAGAATCTGATGTGCTCAAATCTCTAACTAACTAATGGATGAACTGTAGAAAACTGAAATGTATCGTCTTTAAACTGCTTTACATGCTAATATGGAGTTCACCGTAACCTTATTCTAGCTAAGAAAACTCAAGAAGAAAATTAAATAATTTACCTTGCTCGTTGCGTTTCAAAACAGATGTAAACACAGATTAATGTGCACAGTTTTGAAAATATGCAGTATACGTAAAGCGAACAATATAAATACAAATCGTGCATTTTTTTTCGACGATGACAACAACAAAAACCATTGTTTTGCTTCATATATACAAAAATTTACGTCCCTGCCTTTCAGAAACGCCCGTCTGTATAAATCATTTTCCAAGAGACCTAGAAGTTTATTGAATTCTATTCAAAGTCGAACGACTGCCCTTTTTCTTCTCATACAGTGTTTCATTAAAAATCTAGTTGCAGATACGTATGTTATCTATAGTTATACCTATGACATAAAATATAAGATGGAAATGATATTTATTTCAGTTTTTAGGAGAAGAAAAAACAAAATGAGAAAGATAGACTAGAAAGCTAACTGTCCTGTGGGAAGATTGGAATGTCGGCTGAGTGAAACGGTAAACAGACGAAATTAGAACGGCCAGAAAGTCATAACAGTTTGACTTTTTTTTCAAAAAGAAGGTACATCTTATATCAGCTGATCCAGTATCGTGTCATATATTTAAGTCGACTGAGTGAAACGATAGAAGACTTATTGCTTTTCACCTATTGCCTAGCAAATTCTTCTTTCTTTTCATACTATGTGTTCTCGTTCGAGTTAGCTACTCGCTCTCGGTTAACTTTGATCATACACATTTGGAGAAAAGTGGATTGGAAAGTAGATGAACTATATATGACACATCTGAAGTTAGTTTTGCTTTAGTGATCCTATAATTAGTGTATGAGTATATTTTCAGAATTCTATCGTTTTTCCTATATGATAATTAATGTGACGTGATATCCTTCATAGCGGATATAGCGTGCACTACAGTGCTCGACATGATGAAAGCTATAGTAGAATATATAACGCGATAATGAATCAGCTGTTGTGTCAATGTGAATATTTTGATGTATTTATTCTATCGGTAGTAATGTTTCAGGCCATAAATGCATCAAACTATACAGAAGTATAGACTGATAAGTAGCACATGACTATTTAATGAGTCACTCTACACCGTTCATATACTACTGAATGTATATGAAGTGTCATGTGGCAATTAATTATCTCATAGAAAGGTTATTGAAAATATGCTGAACTTTTGAGACTCACTACTTAATAAAAAAGATATATCGAAAAAATAACTTCATCTGTTTCATCTACAACTTCTCGATCTACACTCTCGAATGATCTTTTTTCCAAATCTGTACGATTACTAATAGCTGAGAACGAGTGGCTGGATCTAAGCAGAAAGCAGGTCTAGAAGAAAGAACTAGATGCCAACTACCGTTCGGGAAGATTGGAAAGTCTACTGAGTGAAACAATAAACAGACGAAATTAGAACATTCAGAAAGTCATAACTGTCTGTGTATCTACTACAGCATATTATTCACACTGACATAACAGCTGATTCATTATCATGTTATATTCTACTATAGCGTTCATGATATCAAACACTACAGTATATATATATTCAGTATGAAATGAATCAAATGACGATTAATTATCTCATAGGAAGAACGCATATCGCCGAACAAAACAGAATAAAGTTCGCCTTTTCGTGTTCAGCACACTCGAAAATCCAGAAGATTTTCTATTTTGGGCTAGAGGTACTTCCGAAAGTTTAGCAAAAATTTTCAAACAAAATGGCGTAAAAAAGTTTCCATGGAAGAATGCTATTAGTTTCAAATTTTTTCTTAAACTGTCAGAAGTACCCCTAGCCTAAAATAGAAAATCTTCTGGGTTATTGAGTATGCTGAACACAAAAAAGCACTTTTCAGCAAATCAAAACGAACTTTATTTTTTTCCGGTGATATGATAGAGTTTTTTAAAAAAGTATACTTATTTTGTGACACTAAATATAGGATAAGTAAAGCAAATATTCGAAAACTAACTTCAGATGTGCCATCTACGACTTCTATACTTTCGAATAATTTTTAGCCGAAATCTGTACGATCAGAGATGACCGAGAACAAGTGGCTGACTCGAGCGAGAAAAACAGGTGGAAAGAAGAAGAAATTTTTCTGCTGAAACAGAATAAGTCTCCTTGAGCTTCACTCAGTTGACTTAAAGAATGTTGCTAAGCAACGCCGGGTTGACAAGCAATAAGTCTCTTATCGTTTCACTCAGCCGACTCAAGTGAAATAAAGCCGACTTAAGGTCCATAAACAACTTAGTTTTACATCGTTAAGTTTTATTGCTCTATGGCCAAAGAATATGTATTTTAGTGCGTCACTAAGAATCAGATTTTTGAGACTTTTTATTTTATTACACAAGTATGCAAACTCACAGTATGAATTCACGCTTTTATATACCTGTCTAATTGTTTTTCCTTTCAAGGATCTACTGTCATAGTATAGCACACATTTAAGACCGTTACTGTGACATCGCAGTATTGCTAGAATAGTTTCTCCACCTCAGACTTTCAGATTATGAGATCACTGCAAAAAATTTTATAAAGATAGAAGACAGTATTTTGCTTAGATTAAAGAAAAAGATGGTCAACATCTTCATCCACAGCACAAAGGAACTTAATGTATAAGTTAGAAATCAGTATATTTCAAATATATCACGCACATACGCACATGTTAAGATCAATGTTTGTGTCGTCAATATTAATTTACAGCACCAGCTCTACTATTCCCATCAAATCTTTATGTACAAACAACAATAAAGTTATTGACTTTAAGGTCTCCTCGTTTAAATAAATTTGTTAATCACTACATGCATATCTTACTATAGCACAAAAGTCGTGTCTTGATTAAAAAAAATATTTTATCAGAAAAATGTAAAGTAAAACAAGATGAACTAGGTAATTATGTTTATCAATCGTAGAAATGAGACAAAAAAAAGAATAATAGATTATACGTTTGTCCAATAAGAATTCTCGAAGCAAAGAGTTAAACAAAAATATTTTAGGATTTTTTAAAATGACATAACACTTGATGCATCAAAAAGGCGATCAAAAAAACTATAATTTCGACGAGAAGCCAAGAAATGAAAACTGTTATGTAATAAGAATATTTTTATAAGTATCATTAAAAATGGCTCACCCTGTTTTAACAAATTCGGCTCTCTCTTTTTATGTGTATAAAAGCTTAAAACAATCAATGTTCTTCTATGTAAATCGTTTTCTTGCTCTTATCAAACGACATAGTAAAGACTTATAAATACCTGTATAGAGACATTATGTCTTCTTTACAATTGTATATGATGATGAACGATTTCATGATGATATAACATGGATGAATAAATAACATAAGAGAAGAAGAGAGAAAAATGTTAATAATAATGATGATGATAAGCTAAGATGACTGAATGTTCAACGCACTCACTCATATATGCAATACTGAATGACATATATCTATCACGTTTCATGAACATAATTGTACAATTGATTAGAGGACTTTAAAAAGAGAGGTGAATTTTAATTATATCATATTTAGAGAGAATATACCTGAATAAAACAAGGGGGAAAGAACTTTTGATCAACTGTGAACAATTGCGTCGCGATCAGTTGAATGATAGTATGTTTGAGTTAAATATAACCTCAAACTAGACTATGTACAACCAACGGATAATAAAACTTGTGCAAGATTATAAACAAATAATACTATTTAAGTTTATCTTCATGCGTGTTAACATAAAACTTTGTGAGTATTAAACAAATAGATGTATTATAAAGGGAAATACAACTTACTAGAAGAGACAGACAAGAACGACGATATGGCATTAAAATCAAAACAATGTATGTTGAATAGAAGAGTAGTGCGTTCTTTTCATCTTTTGTTGCATTTTAACCTTTTGTATGTCTATGCTTTGAAAATATAGAAAATAAGATTAATTGCCATGTATTGAACTGAATTAGAAATCAAGGAGGGTGTGTCGCGCAATTGTTTAATCAAACCACGAATAGTTTAATTATCGCGTTAGTTGAACTAAATGTGTTTAATGTGTCATAAAATATTGGTCTCTAGGACCATATTTAAAGCCTCAAAATATCTTTTTGAAAAGATTAAATCATTTATGAGTTTCCCGTCTAAAATCTAAAATTAAACAAATATTGTTGAACAATGAATACGTTAATGAATAATGTTCTCAGAAGTTAAATTTCATTCAATTATCAGGTAAGTGAGTAACATACCACTTTTAAATTTGTTGTACATAACATTAACTTACACATTGCTGACGGTCATTTCTTTAATTGCATTCTTCCTTTATAGCTTGATATTGAAACGATTTATACTTTTGAAAAAAAGTTGCACTTACAAACATATTGACAATAACTTTCACAAATAGGACATAAAGAAAGGAAAAAGAAAGAGAGAGAGAAAACGTTCACATCTATAGAACTTACCTTTTGTACATTAAAATCCGATATCAATATATATATACATATATATATATATATATATTGTGACCAAACAATTACAATACATGCAACCTATGCAGTGTGAAAGAGAGACAAACAAAGTAAAAAATACCATTTATATGTTACTTTTGAAAAGTTAAAACATATTTAGTATAATGTTTAAACGTTTATAAATAATTTTGATGATAGTATATAAGAATGATCATTTAGTAAGAAAATATTAGTTCTTACGATCTTCAATATTATTTCACTTTTCATCTCTTCAGACTTAACTTGTTGACTTCTTAGTTTGATTGAACCAAACAATAAACTATTTTTGGTTCATCAACCGAATGTTGATAACGTAAATAGCTCATTTTTATATACATAGGTAAACACACACAAAACATCTTCACTCAAGACTAATCCGGGATATACAACATAAAACAAATGGATATGTCAGTTTCTAGCTGAAGAAAAAATAAAATAAAAAATGAATAATTTTTTTTTTTGTTTATGTCCCCCACTCTTCACATCATATTGAAATATGATGTAACATTAGATTGAATTAATAACAATATGAGAAATAAAACAAGGAAAAGGTTTCGACTAAATTTGAGATAGAAAAAAAAAAAACAGAAACTTTTATGTAGAATATTCGTTCGACACTTGTGTCAAAGCAGCCAATTCAAGTTAAATATATATATATTTTTATACATATATATTTATCTAACCATACTTTATATATAATACCGCCATATATTACATGTTTAGTAATAGAGATCAATTTTGATGTCGATATAATGATATAAAAAAGAAATCATATCTGACATGTATACATGTTCATAGTGACAAAGAGTAAAAGAAACAATATGAAGGTCAAGAAATAGTTATTCTTGGTACCTGAGGATCATTTTATATGTGTATAACTAATGGATGTTCGTTGAACAACCTTACAAGGATAAAGGTGTAGTGCAATATACTAAAAATTTAAGTAGTCAAATTATTTTAATAGAAATACAAATAAAAGAATGACTAAAATTTAGAACATTCATTCGTGATCTTATTAATTCACGAATGTGAAGATGAAAACATGACTAGAATAATATGCGTTTAAAAAACATCATTGACTACGTTTAGATATCATCAGTTATTGTTTAACGGTCAGAAAATATAAATATATGTTTCATTTTCGTTCATAAGTTCAATGATTTAGAATCAAATTTTATGGCAAGTATCATATTAAAAAAATTTCTTTTTCAAAACGGTTTAAAACAGAAATATAGTAGTTAAACTTTTGTCTACATCATAACCTCCGAAATGGGATAGAAATAGAAAAAAATGTTATGTAAAATGTAAACTAACATACGCATAAAAAAAAAACCTATCAGTGTATAGGTATATATGGTGTTCTTCAATTAATCAAAATCAATACCGCAGCTTCGATGATTTCGTTATCTAAGTTCACTAACCGTCTTTAATAAATCAAGGGTCTTTCTTACATAATTTGCTGACCAGAAGAATAAAAAAGGTTTTTTTTACAATCGTTTGTTGCCTATGATATAGTCATCAACTGGTAGATCTACTTTTATTAAAATTGCAGAGCAGCGTGACGGAAAAAAAATTTTAAGGTATGAATATGAGCAACGATCATTATACTATACGGGAAAAATATTCTCGAAAAATTTCTCTCTATTAGATACAATTATGCATATGTTTTAGATCAAACAAAGTAATGATATTACTTAATAATTAATAACTGTTTCCAAAAAAAAAGATAATTATCAAATGTGGAATAAGATGAATCATCCGTTAACGCATCACATAAATATTTTTCATTAACTAATTGAGTGGATTCCTTTATTATTATTTTTTTAGCTCATTTATAAGTATTATCCGGAGACAGATAGTTGTAGATCCTTTTATCGAGTTGTACTTTTGTGTCTTATCAATGATTTTTGTTACACATAGATTACCAAACAGAAAATATGAAACATCAGAAAAAGCAAAAAATTTACATCAGATTACAGTTATTAACACATTTGTTGAAATGATTTCAAACAGAGAAGAATAATATCGATATACAGTAAAATCGTGTACAAAACACTTTAAAACTAATTAAAAAAAAGCAGACGAAACGTATAACTGCAATGGATGTTATCAAAAATTTATTTCTCCATTGTAAAGGTAGAAACAACAGAAAAGCAATGTATTTTGATCAAAAAACAAATAAACCGGATTCAATATTTAATTGACTCTAAAAAGTGCTGTCTTGCATCAATATTCTACTATCAAATAAATACTTGCACTAAACTTAATTGTGCACAAAACGGTCCAATAATATAAACAGTAGAAAAGTAGAATATAAGACCAAACGTTATTGAAATTGGTAGTGCTGGTAACGCTTTTCGAAATATTGCTAATAGTAATAATGTCAAACATAGACCAATTAATAACGATACATAACACGCCATCGTCACGGTCCAATCTCCGAGCGCTAGAAATAAATTAAACAGAATAGAACAATACAGTGTTAGAAACATTCATAATGTTATATCAAATAAAACTTACCACTTGCTTTTGCTAACAAAATCGAATAAAATATAAAATCACCAAGACCTAATTTAACACCTTCTACAGAAAGTAAAAATACGTTAATTAGTTCAGTTTATTACCATAATCATACATTTCAACGTACTTTCTTCATCGTCATCGTCTTCTATATGTGGAGTAGCTGCTGGTTCAACTATATATCTAGGTTCTTCTCGGCGAACATCTTCTTGCGGTACATCTGCTCGTGGTATAAGTTGTCGTCGTGGTTGTTGTTGTCTAATAGCAGCATTGACAAAACCTCCATTTTCATTAGTTTCATCCGCATTGCTATTTGAAGTATTTGCTAGAGGAAAGAAAAGGAAATGAATGTACATAGATACAGTCTTGGTTCGATGTGACAGAAAATTTATCTGATAACTTTTTTATTCGAGTGAAACAAAAAAAATATCATTCATAGTTATCAAGATCTTTGCACTACAAAAAAATAAATAACTGACTTTTTAGTGAAGAAAATGAAGTTTAAACTCAAGCATTAGTCAAGTTTTCTTAACTTAGAATGACCGAAACGAATGTATACCAGCTTACCTATTGAATTCGTATTTATAGTTGCAAATTCTTCCCTAGGAGGATCAACTGCAGTTACCATGTACACCATCGTAGCTAAAACAGTAGTTAGTTTGATAAAAATGTCAAAAGCTAGTACAATATGATTGTAAATACTAGTAAATACTTACTATACAAAAGTAAAAAAACTGAGATTTTTTTAAAACTAGTTCATGAGATAGACTTACAAGAATAAATTAAGGCAGGAAAAATAGGTTCTCCACGCTCCTGAGCAGTTTCTACTAAAATTCGCAATGGTCCTTTTGGACATAGTACAGCGAGAAGATCTAAAAAAAATGACGCAAAAAAGATTGACATTTGAAAGAGATTTTACCAAAGTTTCTGCTTACCCCATACAGATATAACACCAAGTATGAGCCAACCGGTCCACTCTGGTAAAAATTTATAGAAAACAAGGGCCAATAACGCTGACATAAGAATCAAATAAGCTTGTTGAATACGAAGTGGTCCTTTCCAATGAATTGAATACATTCCCATGACGCCAATATTCCACGTTAAAAAACATATTGTTATCATATCAATTGGTCTATTTAACGATGCTGATATACTACTGCAAAGACAAAGACAAAAACTTTAATATCTATGAAGTAATACCACATTACTAACCTAAAGTATGAATATAGAAAGAAGAACAACAGCATCAACGTAGTAAGTATCAACCACCCATGAATAATCTAAAAGTAAATCAAATTATTTGAGGATAATGCTAAGAGTAAAAACCGAATATACCTTATAACAACGAAATTTATATAATAAAATTAAAATAAATGTAGCAGCAATAACAAACGCCATAAATATCATTGCATTTGCTAATGAAAATAAAATTCTTTGTGTATTTGTTTGTTTATCTTCTGTAAACGGTGTGTATCTAAAGCAGAAAAAGCTCATTTATAATCGGATTTATAGCCACTACTGTATGAGCACAGAGTTTGTTGGTGTGAAAGAACTTCAGTTGAAAAATTATTCCCACCAGTAATATAAAAGATATACGTACGCCCATTGTGCTCCGCCGGGCGTATAAGAGGCTAGAAAGAAAAGATAATAATAATAATAATAATAATAATGAATTCTTAACCAATTGGCTTACTTGTTGTTTTTATTGTCACAATAACAATAAACATACACAATGAAACAGGGACAAATAATTTAACAACATGACTAGCGCCATATTTAAATATTTCCTCATCATCATTGTCCGTTCGATTTTGTTGTTGATCTTGACGCCTATGACGTCGAACATTACTGTTGTTTTCGTCTAGTTCTTCATTCGGAGACGACATTTGAGCGCTAGACGAGACATTTGCTGATGTCTAAATTCGAACAAATTAAAACGAATAAAACAATTGATGATACTATCCTGCTCTTAAAATAGGAATATTTCAGCTAAATGATGTACTTCTCTATCTCTTATGTCAAGCAGTTAAAGTAGATGCACTATTTAATAAACAGTTTTATCAAGTTGAAAAGTTGTCGTGATTGAAATATTTTACTATTGACTTGATATAGGTAAACTTACCCGTCAATTAAGACTGAAAAAGAAAGATAACCGTCAATCACAAGCACAATGAAAGAAAATGGTAAAAAAAGAATTGGGAACATAGCGACGAAGACAATCTTTTCGATATCTACGATAACATATCATCAATAAAGAAGAAACGTAATGCATTCGAGTCTTTAAATAATTTAACCATTCTAATATAAAGCTTCAATGCTTTCTTTGTCTTTTTCAGAATCTAATTGTTAAATTGATTAAAAATTAAATATAACATATGTATTGCTATCAAACTCCCAGTAAGGAAAAACAAACATGCAATCTATCAGATTTTCGAAAAAGAATACAACAGCACCTCTTAGAGTCTAAGACTTGCAAAAGAAGAAGCGAAACAAAATTTAGAGTACAACAATTAATGGTTTTTTGCATTAACATGCATGTTATACCTGTACTATGACATTAGGCAAAATCATTATAGCTGGATCTGAAGTCTGGTTTGGCTAGAAGAGAATGTTGCAGCAAATATACATAAAAACCAAAAATTAGTCACAAAAGTTAATTTATTAGTGAAAAAAACATTCACTAATTTTCGTTATGTCGGCACGCCAGCATGTAACTTGAGAATGACACAACAAAATGAGTAGCAGCCAAAAGATCGGGAAGATGTTAATACGTACCCCGTAGTTTTCGGGTCGTTCTACGCCCAAAATATTACCATCAGGACTATGCAGCAATTCCGTCATTTCGTCGACGTCTGAGGTATCTTGCATTAATTAATTACTATGATATAGAGAAAAAACTTAGCTATTCATTGCTAAGTTTTCATTCAAATATGTTTATCTTGAACAAGACAGAATGACATTCACTTGAATAAATAAAATAAGAGGCAACAGAATACATTAGATACTAGCTTAAATACTCCGAGTCCCCCGCGACTTGTTCTTACTAGCCATCAATTTTTTCTGTTAAAGATAATGTAACTGCTGCTGAGCCTTAATAAACAACGTAAAGCTAACGATAATGTGTCAAATATATAACCACCGATTCGTTACAAGTCTTGAGGAATTAAAATCAGTTAGATGTCCAAAACACTTTTTCTCTTCAAACTACGCTCAAAATCTATTATTATGAAGTACATTACTGATTTTTATCAGAAAAATATCTTAATTTTATAAAAAAAGATAACATGATAATCGTCTTTTCGTATTGCCATTTTGTTTCTCACATTTTTAAAATTTGTCGGATACCTAACATAAGTAAAATTGTTTTAGCCGTAAGTTAAGATCCGCAGTTTACCTCTAATAAAGGTTGAGTTATATGTTTTCATTAGTTAATAATAAACAGAACGAAAAAAGTTATGTAGATGTCAGTTAAACTGACGTCATACATAATACAACGGATTAGATGGCAGTTTGGATGGGGGTGAGTTCAGACAGAAATAGTTTATGAACCTAAAACTTCTGGACTAGGGTTAATACCTGATGGACAATCTGATTGTGGTCAGAAGATCTTCGTGAAGTCTCTAGATAGGTATAGGTTTGAAAATTCTTCAGATTGGTTTTGGGATAAAATGTGAGGATATCCATGGATATAACTAAACTTTAAAAAACGAAAAGGGGTGTGCAAAGATTTTTTGAGCCTTCCTCCAAAAACCTGGGATTACCGTATAAAAAATTTGTTTTACTGTGTGAATTTTTAAAAAAACTAAAAGCATTTTGCTGGCAGAAAACGATAATGTTAAGTAGAGGAGGACGCAGCTTCTTCCATGTTCCTAAAGCAGAAGTGGGCAAGCCCAAGTCTGGAGTTGAAGGTTTTTTGATGAACTTGGACTTGACTTGGGTTTAGAGATTTTTTTATCAAGTCCGATTGAAGTCCAAGGAATTAAAATCTTTTACATTCAACAACGGATTGAGTATAATCTGATACCTAATTTATTAATCTTTTTTGTCAAACAGGGATGGCACTTTACCTTTACTTTACTTGTAACCACCCAAGCGAATAAAAAGTATCAAGTATTGGGCAATCGTATCTAGGTAATCCAATCCAATAGGGTCCTTCCACACAGGTCCGTCCACTTTATACAGAGCATCTTGCCGCGAAAACTTCACTTTGCCCATCGTACAGAACATCAAAAATAACCTAAAAGTCTCGCTTACGCTTTTGTGTGGAAAGTGGTTTTCTAGACACCTCAAGTTTTTGGTGAGGGTAAAACCGAAGTCGGTGAAAATGAACGAAACATTGCATAATTATACATCAAACTGTAGCTCTTGACGAGTTGATTCTAATGGTGAAGAAACTTCGTCTCAATCTAACTTTACGTTCGAGTGATACTCCATTTACTTGAAAAATTCCTGAAGTTTGACCTCGATTTTCTCCTAAACGCTCTTAAAATTTTTTCGAGATTTTTTCAGGATAGGAACTGCTTAGTAGGATCTATAACTTTGTCCGTACAACTATCCTCGACAGTACATTGAATTCTTAATGCTGAATAGGAATATAGAGTAATTCTTTTCATGAAGTAAGGTTTTAACGGATTTTCTGGAAAAGCGAGGGTGAAAAATGGAAAGTATCGAGGATAGTTGTACGGACAAAGTTATAGATCCTACTAAGCAGTTCCTATCCTGAAAAAATCTCGAAAAATTTTAAGAGCGTTTAGGAGAAAATCGAGGTCAAACTTCAGGAATTTTTCAAGTAAATGGAGTATCACTCGAACGTAAAGTTAGATTGAGACGAAGTTTCTTCACCATTAGAATCAACTCGTCAAGAGCTACAGTTTGATGTATAATTATGCAATGTTTCGTTCATTTTCACCGACTTCGGTTTTACCCTCACCAAAAACTTGAGGTGTCTAGAAAACCACTTTCCACACAAAAGCGTAAGCGAGACTTTTAGGTTATTTTTGATGTTCTGTACGATGGGCAAAGTGAAGTTTTCGCGGCAAGATGCTCTGTATAAAGTGGACGGACCTGTGTGGAAGCACCCAATACCCAATATAACTAGATACAGGTGAAAAGAACGTATTGGGTATTGGACAATCCAAGCTAGCTAGCCCAGTACAGTAGTCAATATACCTAGCTAACACAATACCATACCCAATATATCTAGCTTGCTCAATATATTACTGGATATATCGACGGTCGGATTATTCACCTTTTGTTTTGCAGCCACAGCACCTATATATGCAACACATATACTCCATAAATTTTACAAGGTTTTTATTCATATCAAGTCAATATATTGAGCAATAATAGACTAATATATTACAGAAAGCAGGATGTCTGTCTGGGATGCAGTTACTTTACCTGGTAAAGTAACGCCGAATAAATAGTAAAGTGCCACCCCTATTGTCAAACATGCATCAATGTATCGATAGAATTTATTTACCCGCCATGTATGATTATGACGTACTGTGCAGTTCAAAAAACGGTTGAAAAACTTCGACTCGAACTTGCATTCGACTTGGACTTGACTTGGGCTTGAAAATGATCGGACTTGCCCACCTCTGTCCTATAGAATTATCTTCCTGAGAATATGGCAGTATTTGGTACATGATAGTCTCCAGAAAACTTGCGAGTTTCTGAAGGTCCTCTAGATTTGAGAGGATGGGTAAAATTGTAGTTGATAAGTGCTTGTAAACATTTTGGCAGTATCAGAACTCTAGATCTAGAGTGTCTGCAAAAGTGTTTTCGTGAAGATCTGCAGAAAAATAGACATCTTGAATGTAAGTTTGTTTTTATTAATTTGCATTTTATTTCCTATTCTGTTTTATTGCGGTACATCTAGAACACAAAAAAAGAAAGAATGTTCAAGCAAGAAAGAATGTCATCTAAGAGAGAAAAATGTCATACTGCTTCACCTGCATAAAAATGGAATAACATAATAGAACTTCGTTACAAAATAAAAATAAAAATAATAGAAGGATTGTCTCTCTTTGAGAATAATTCAAACACTTGAAGCCTCTCCACTTGTCAGTCTGTCAATCTGACCTAGTCAGAATGTATACAATTTGACATTTGGTATACATTGGTAGTGGTTGAATTATCGCACATTACATAGTAAATGTCACTAGTGACCTAAATGTCTCCAACATTGAATTCTTTCAACGGGCATTTTATGGACTTGCAATTCTTGAGCTTGTCTTTGAAACAAATTATAGAGTTTATGGGAAATGTGGTTATAATGTCGATCTACGCAGCATAGAATTGTTCCTCAAATATAACTGATATTTAATAACGCATAGATGACCTGTTAGCTAAAAACGGGCTTTAGTATGCTTTAAAATATGAGAAACAGCCAGTTAACAGACACTGTTCTTTTACTGTTCATAATGTTCTGAAAAGATGACCAGGCAATTAAATATACATGATTAACACCCAAATTTACATAATCGTTAAATATCTATTAAATATCCGTTTTCTTTTTAACGATTACAGACAAAAGCAAAAACAGACGATTTACGTTGGCGGTTCTTTTGATATAGTTCGTCAACAAGTCATTTACCTTTTGTTTTATTGTTCTGACTACTTTATAAATATTACGTTGCAAGGATGTGAAGATCAGCGGGTGAGACTGAAAAAGCTCTCAGAATTGGTATGAAGGATACTAAAAGCTACTATTCATTGCACTATAGTTCTATACTGAAAATCACGCTATGAAAAAAAGTTTAATCATTTCCAGCGTTTAAAAACAGAAGACTTTTCAAGTTTACTGTGGTGAAAAAAACAGGAAGTTTCAATATTATAAATGGGTATCTCGACTGAAAGATGTCTGAGTGCTAACTGGAATTAGTTCCAGATCTGATGTTAATGTGACCTCTGAAATTTGAATGATTGTATAAGAATCGTCCGGAAGCTAAAAAGAAAAATTATGTAAAAAGGACGTATATATATAACTAACAAAAACGTTTTATACAATCTAATAGTCCTTTAAAGAAAAGGCACGAATTATTCAAAAGGATGATTATTATTTCTAATAGCGCGATGTTCTTTTTCCATCGTCATGGCACAATGTTCCTTAATGCACTTTGTGAACCTGAGACCTGCAGGCAGTTATTATATGTAGAGAAAATGATGAATAAAATTATAGGTTATAAGTACAGAAGAAGCATATGGCGAGCCTTTTTGTCTTTTATGAGTGGCATAAATGTTAAAGAAAAAAAGATTTTCTATTCTTGTATGCGTTTTTCCTTTCTTATTATTTTTTTTTTCTTTTCTGTACACGCCATGTCAACATAGTATTTGTATTTTCATGCGCTCGTAAAACCTTTCAATAAGTTACATTTTTCGCAATTATAATGAAACGAAGTTCTTGCTGAACACAGAAAAAAGGAAACTGTGTTTATCTAGTCAAAGGAGAAGAACGGGTAAGGTTGAAAATTTTCGTCACGCAAATCTAATTTTTTTCTATTAAGAACATGTCAGACCGGTGTCAAAAACATATTCTATCACTTAGTTTCTCAAAATTCTAAGATCAAACATTTTTTTTTTCTCAAAAATTTTGGAATCTGTTTTTTTCGACTTTTATTAAATATGCTGAAGTACATATATATTCAATCATACAGATCTCGAATATAACGGTTGAAATAAAAAACTATGCTTTCATGTATGAGAAAAATAAACTTTCAAGTATTGTTATATTTTTGCGTTGTTTTGGAATTCAATTTTATGATTATGTCAGAAAAACATTCTTATCTAACCAAAAATAGTCAGATGAAAAAATGACGATGGAATCAAATTCATAAAAT